CAAAAACAAAGACGTTGTGGTTTTTATTTTCGGACTAATTTCGTGCGTTGCCCAAACCAAGTCAAGCCCCCGCCCCAATCCCTTGTGGATCAGAAAGGTGGAAAAGAATGAACGGAAGTCCTCCAGAGATTGCTAAATATTATTTTCTCCGAATCTAGAATTCTGTTTTGGTGTCGCGACTACATTCCAATTGAAACGATGTCACTAGCTCCTTGTCCGCTGACCGGGTGGAGGTCTCCTCCAGCCTAGCCCTAGTACCTACCTACATCTTCGTCCTCCAAGCGCCGTACGAAAGACAGAAATTGTTCGGAATGAAAGCTACAACGCCACCTGTTTAATAGTTTTTCGATTTAAAGTCAATTTTTAGACTCATCACCTCGACTAAGTTGATCCTAGAGTAGATACTAAGCCAACACCAAAACAGAGTCTCTATATCCTGAAAATAATGTGGAACGTTTATTCTTTTCTTTGACTTTCTTGCCTCCGATCCGGCGCCAGGTCTGGATATCGCGCAACACCATGGAGCAAATGCCGGTGAGTTGAAACAGGTGTACGACGATCTTCCCCCAGTGCTAATCTCTTGTGATTCCCTCGGTTAGATGTGGTGTCCGCCCACGCCGCCGCAGGACAACGACAACGACATCTACATCGACTACTCGCTGTCGTTCATGTACGACCTGGAGCCGATTCCGGAGACGGAGCTGCCGCCTGTCTATGTCCGCAAGGAGCACAAGCGCTCCCGCACGGATGCCGGCTATGACGGCAGCCGGCGGCCCAACAAAATGCGGCGGGAAGACAACTACGTGCCCCCCAGATCGCTCTTCGATCGACCCACTCCGCAACTGGCCCGCCTGCGTCGCGAGCTGAAGGCCCAGCGCTTCCGGGGAAGCTTCAAGCCCAACTCTCCCATTCCGGGCCTGAAGCCCCCGATTCCCACCAAGCCCTTGACCGAGCCGGAGGCCATGGCCGAGTGGGGCATCTTCGAGGACATAGCCATTCTGCATGTTCTGGTAAATCTCCAAGGGCTGCCCTGCAGCCTGATGCTGCTTTCCCCTGGCCAGACCCCCAACTGGGACCTCGTATCGGAGATGGTGAACTTCTGTTCCAAGACCTACCGGTCGGCGCGGCAGTGTCGCTGGCGCTACGAAACCCACATCCAGCCGCGCGAGGAGGGCAAGGTGGTGGAGAGCCCCAAGAAGCAGAAGAAGCTGAAGCCCACTCTGCGCACAGAGTACGTGAAGAGTCCGTTGCGCTATCTTCGCACCACGCAGCTGTATGTGCAGGACAACAACGCCTCCTTCTACAAGACCATGCGGTCCCGCTTCGACAGCATCAAGACTGCCTACCTCAAGAAGGCTCCTCCTCCCAAGCGCCAGTTCAGTGCGCCCAGCTTGATGAATCCGAAGCATGTGGAGGTGCTGCAGGAGTTCGGCATCCAGAACTACGACCAGCCGGTGCCCCCGCAGAACATAGCAGCCATGAAGGCGAGCAAGATCCGGGAGAAGCAGAGGGGGCAGCAGTTGCCACCACCGTCGGTGGGTCAGCAACAGGTTCAGCAGCAACAGCAACAGCAGGTGCAACAACAGCAGCAAGTGCAACAGCAGCAGGCGCAGCAGCAACAACAGGTGGTGCAGCAAGTGCAGCAGCAACTGCCCACCGTTTCGAGTGTGCAGCAGACCCTGCCGGTCCAGCAGTCGGTGGAGCTGGTGCAGCAACAGTCTACTGGCACAGGAACTACAACGGTGGCTGTGCCCGGAGCTGGGCAGCTGCAGCAACTGCAGATTCAGCACCTGACCAGCGCCACTGTTTCGCCCGGCCAGCAGACGGCCATTCTGCTCCACCAGCCTCAGCAACAACTGCGGACCCATCCCGGCCAGGCGGGACAAACCACAACCCAGCAGCTGGTCAAGACCATTGTGGGCACCTCATCGAGCCTGACGGCCGGCCAGTTGCAGCAGCTGGCTCAGCAGTCCGCAGCCAACTCCGGCGGTCAATCGAGCGTCAGTGTGGTCCTCACCACACCAGTGCAGTCTTTGCCGGCGGTGGTGCAACCGCAGACGGGCTCCGGTGCCCAGATTGTATCCATTTCGTCGCAGACCACTCTGCCGGTGAACAGTTCCCCCCAACTGGGCAGCATTGTCCAGACCCAGACGCTGCCGCAGGTGGTGTCCGTGAGTACCTTGCCTACAGTGGGCTCGGTCCTGACCACCACAGCCAGCCAGCAGCAACAACAGCAGGGCACGGCGGTCACCACTCTGAACACGGCCATGTTGCGGGGCCAGCGCATTGTGTCGGCAGCTGCTGGGAATACTCTGCAGCAGCGGAGTATTACTACCGCCGGAGGTCAGTCCATCGTCTCCATGCCTAATCTGGGCCAGGGTGTGAATCAGCAGTTCCAGACGCAACTGCGATTGGCGGCAGTTCCCACGTCGCCAGCCAACCAGACCACTCAACTGGTGACCACGAAGGGCATTCCGGTGAGTGCTCTGCAGCAGGGCGGCAAAACGACTGTGATTCCCGGCACCCAGCAACCCGGCGGAGCTCATATTCAGCTCTACAGGCAGCGTAGCTTGAAGGTGTTGCAGACCACCACGCAGGCGGCAGCTGGCGGTGCAGCTGGGGGCACGGCAGGAGGAGCCACTGCGAGCCTGGTCCAGGCCGGAGGCACCATCATCCAAGCCAGCAATATGCCTACCCATGTGACCAGCCAGAAGGTGGCGGTTTCGGGCATTCCGGGCTCTTCCACTACCGTGCAGGCGGGCAACGTAGTTAGCAGTGTACAGATGCACGGGCAGGCCAGGACGCAGTTCATCAAGCAGATGGCCGCCGGCAAGCAGGGACTACAACGCCAGGTAGTGTCAGCAGATGGCACAACCACATCAGCGGGAGCAGGTGACATGCTGCTGGTAAAGCGGCACAATATTTTGGCGGCGCAGAAGGCCCAACAAGCCACCGGGGCATTGTTCACCACCACCTCGGCGGCTGCCCAGCAGCAGCAACAACAGCAGCAGCAGGGGCAACTGCCTGTGGCGGGACAACCCCAACAGGTGACCCAGCAGCAGATTGCGTCCCTGGTCAAAGCCTCCACGGCGGCGGCGGCCAGTGGCAGCAGTGTGAGCGCTGGTGGGGTGACGGTTTCGGCCACCGGACCCACTGTCCAGGGGGGTAACGTTAACATGACGCTACCCCAGCTGAAGCCAGGCAGCCAGATCAAGGTGACCATGCCCAACCAGATGCGACACTTGCAGATGCAACAGCAGCTGACGATGCCGCGGAAGATAAGTCGGATGACGCAGTTGGTCAGTGCCACCGGGCAGCCCACAGCCACGAATATTGTGGCCACCACCGGCGGCCAACAGCAACAGGGAGGGGTTACCGTGTCTGGAGGAGCAACGCTGCCGACAGTGGCTGGTCAACAGCAACAGCAGCAGCAACAACAGCAACAGCAGCAACAAAAGGCCGGCGGAGGAGGCAGTGTCCAGGCGCAGTTGCTCCACATCCAGAACACGAAGGCCTTGCCCAACTCGGTGACTGTTCAGCAAATCCAGCAGGTGATGCGCAGCGGCCAACAGGGCACTCTGGCCACCACAAACCTGGTGCTGGGCAAGACCAGCGTGGGCCGGGTGATTCCCGTCTCCGTGGCGTCGCAGGCCAACCAAAGACAGACTATTCAGGTGGGTTTTTTTGCGAGACTGATCCATAGACCCATTACTATAGCTATTGTTTCATTACAGGTGGTTTCTGCTGCTTCCGCCCAGGCCTTGGCAGCCGGAAACCTGCGCACCCATGTGGCCGGCCCGAATATAGCCAGTGCGCTGAAGGTGGCTGCCTCTGGGGCTGCTGGACAGACCACCCAAAGAACGATAATCGATGCACTGCAGCAAAATCTGCGACAGAACGCCAGTCCAGTGCGGCTGCAGACCACGGCCGGAGGCAGCCTTCTGGCAGTGGTGCAGCAACAGCAGCAGCAGCAGCAACACACGACCATTTCGGGACCCACGGCCGGGCCGGCGGAGGTGATGACCATAACTCAGACCACCACCACGCTGCCCACAGTCGGAAGCCTGCAGCAGCAGCAGCAGCAACAGCAGCAACAACAGCAGCAGCAACCGACCACGCAACAGGTACGCAAGTTGGTGCAGAAAAAGATCATGATCCGCAGTGAGAAAGAATAACGGTCCAGCAAAGCCGCCAGATCACGTAACCGGCGGAACATCCCGAGCATTACCACCACCGCCACCGCCACTGTCACCGCCACAGCCACTGCCACAAATTCAATATCGAATCCCACAAGCACTATATTCACACACCCGAACACCAACAACAGTCTGATACTTTCGAAATCCAAAAAAATCGATCAAAATTATATTAGCTCCATCATCTCATAATCCGTACGATCCTCATGCATTCAATCAGAATCAGAATCAGTCCGCCAGTCAGTCAGTCAGTCAGTCAGTCATTGCTAAATTGATCTCAATTTCTGTCGATTGGTTTTGCAGCCATGAGCTCTCGAGGATGCCCGCGATGATGACCTTGATGATAGCTTCGAACAGCCGCCGTATTACTAATCTTACTGATCCCTAGTAGCTCCTAACTGGAACTTATTTGTAAAAATAAATATACATTACGAACTATTTATAGTTTTTTACGGAGATGCGAAAAGTGTAACCCATAGCTGTAACCTAAACTTTGTAAATCGTAGTCACGTAAGGTATTCCCTAAGAGGCGTAGTCTGTACATCCGTATATCCAATCCAGATCTATCAGATGCAGATACTACGCCAGTACCCCTATATACCCCATATATGCTGATAGTTTTACCTTCTGAATTAAATAAATTATGCTTTAGTATAATGGAAAGAATGCAAATAAATAATGTAAAAATCGTAATGTTGCCACATCGTGGGGGTTTCCATGGTTACTGGTTTTCAACCACAACACTTTTGGTTCGGCTGGAACTGGAGTTTTTTCCGTAGTTCCCAGTTCCGTCAAGCAGTCTCGCCATGTCCTTGTTCAATGTCTGCAGCTGGTGGTCCGCCCAATGCTCCGATCCTGGCGAGGAATACGATGTGGCCAGCTTGCTGTGCGCCCGCTTCGGCCTGGAGGCTCAGGAGAAGGACTACATCATTGTGGGCTCCCAGTCGGGACAGCTGAGCATCTACTACCCGCACCATCGGGGCTATGATGCCACCGATTTGCTGCTGGAGACCCAGATGACGGCTCCTATTTTGGGCCTATATGCTGGCAAGTTTAGTGGGTGAGTTGTGGCTGGAACACCAACCAGGAAGGCGCTCAACATTATACTCCTCCAGCACTGTGCGCAACGAGAATGCCAACCAGTTGGGAGTTCTACTGCCCAATGCCATTGTTATATACAATGTCCTGGCCATCGGTGGACTGGCGGAACACGGGGCTCAGTTGCGCTTGCAGATGCAGGCGGAGCACAAGTTCCAGCGCGTGGCCTTTGGGATGTGCCAGGGTCACTTCGGCCAGGTGAAGGGCAGGGAGTTCTTCTGTGTGGTGCATTTGGATGGAACTCTCACCTTTTACGAGCAGGATGGCATATCATACGAGTGCCGGTTTCCCGGCTACCGGGCTCTTCCCGCTCCTGTGGTCTATTGCGAACGTACCGATAGCTTCTTTCGGTTCAGTGCTACCTGGGATCTTCAGTGCTATAGCTATCAGGATTTGTCCCATTCCCTCGTCACGAAGAGTAGCTACCAACCCACTTGGACGCAGTGCGTGGGCGAGGGCATTGTCGATATGCGGGTGGTTCAAGTTAAGGAGTAAGTATGGGATTTAGTTTCTTTCGGATATTTGTAATCTGTCGGATGGCAACCTCCAGGAACTGTTCCTACATTATGATCCTGGGAGAACGAAACTTTATATCCCTGGACGACAATGGAAAGTTTAATTTCATGCTAAAGTTGGACTACGCTCCCAAATGTTTCATTAGTTTCGTGGTGGGTTACTATTGGGGTAAGTAATCCCCTTGATTAACCTTCCGGTGGCTCATCTCCTTGACTATCCAGAACCGGGCGCCCGACTCATCACCGCCATCATTTCGGACTCCTCCAAACTGCACTTGTATGAGGAGGCCAATCTTATTTGGGCAGCCCAGTGGCCCAATCAATCCCCTGCCCCGGTGGCCATTCAGCGCTCTAATGTCCAAAACTTGGCTGGCGGAATTGTAACCTTGGGTGCCAAGGGGCAGCTGGAGGTGGGCTACCTGGGAGCCGATCCCTTTCAGTTCCAGGTTCAGCCCCTGAAACTAGAGGAGCTGAGCTTCGCCCAGGCCCACAAAGAACTCCAACAGCTGGAGGATGAAATCAAGGAGGCGGTGGATGTGCGGGACATGGATGCTCTCAACCAACAGGCGGCGGATCAAGTGCGTCTTACTTTTACTATCCAGCCGGAGGTCAACGACGATTTGGATACCCTGCTCCTTGACGTTCCCGCCGATGTGGCAGTCAAGGAATTACCGTCAGCCAAGGGTCTACTACGTTGTAGGATCAAGGCAGAGCTGGCCGAGCTGCAGCTGGTATTCCAAACCCCAAATGGGGTAAGATGCAGCCAGGACACCTTGAGCTTTGTGGATGTGGCAGCCGGCACCATCCATGAGTTTAAGCTGGATTTCTATATTGCCGAGTTGTTGCACATTCACAGCGCCAAAGTGGAGGTGATCGCCTCGTTTGTGAGTCCCAGGGTGAGTTCATTTGGTCTTTAACCTGGCCAGAGCATCCTTAAATAATACATTGCTACTCCAGGGCATCCCACGGGTCATTCAGCAGATCGCAAACCTCCCTTTGTCCATGTTCTATCGGGCTTGCCAGCCCCAAAAGGCAGCTGGAATAAAGTTGACCTACAGCATCATCAGCCGCCATGTTACTCCGAAACTGGCCACCTTCTTTGGGGAGTTTCTGGAGGAGCACAGTGAGGCACATGCCTTGGGCCTACAGCTTCTATGTCCGGGCCTGGAGAAGCAAAGCGAAGTAATCACGTTGGTGGCCGCCAAGAACTCCAATCGGATTCGCATTCAATCCGATTACGTGGAGACCTTCGCCATGATCCTGGAGCGCATAGTGGAGCGGACCCTGCAGCTGGACAGCTCGGCGGGATTAATAAAAATGGACAAGAAAAAGCCCAGAAAGGGAGTGCTTAATCGGTGTGTGGAGCGTCTGATAGCTGCCCCCTTTCTGCCCATCCAGCCGATTCTCCACAGAATTGATGTGCATCACGATACCCAGCAGAGCATTAGAAAGCAAACGGTGAGTTTTAAAAACTTTAACTTTTAATTATGTTATAATTAATATTTTTGACGATTAACAGGAGCAACTAGAGGAATTGTGGCAACAGTTCAAGACGCTGCAGCGCAATTTGCAGGAGCAGTCCGAGGGGGACCCCAAAGAGGCCCTGACAATGCAAATAGAGTCCAACTACGACCAGTTGATCCTGGAGGGTGATAAGTTGGTGGAGATACGGCGGGACGAACGAAGGTACATGTGTATTTATCATATATGGGTGTATGTTTTGGGTTCCGTAATTAGCCACCCACTGGGTCAACCCAATTTATTTAATAACCTTTCGAACTAGCGGATATAAGTGAATGAAGTAGTCTTACCTCGTGATTAGTTTTGGTCAAAGGAATATCGGTTATCAACTCGTAATAGAGTTAATATTAGAGAATCATAAGAGCTATCTATTGTTTTAAATACTTCTATTGAAAGGAAAATAAGTATGTTTTATTTTATTTAAGTTCTAAAGAAGCCTTAACCACAGGGTATCTTCATATCCCTGCACCCATTAGTCCCAATCTATTTTAACCTCGTTGCTTTTATCGATTTTAGACAACGTTGCGACTTGAATTGCGCAGTGGCATTAGCCAGATGGATTATTCATGCCTTGAACCTGGAGGAGCGCGTGGTCAACGTGGTGAACTCCGTACTAAGTGTGCCCATCGAGGACTGGACAGAACTTGTAAAGATTCCCAGGCACACAAAATAATCATTATTTCTAAAAAAAATAATATTTTCACAGAGCTGGGAAGAATCTATGGCTCCGGGCATTGATATGCTGCACCACTTCGGGCCACTGACCCGCTCTAAATCCACATCGACCCATGGACTACTGGACTCGAATGCCAATCCCAAGGACAGCTTCGATTATAGCCGCTTTAGACGCCACTTTGCCACCCTCTTTGACAGGATTATACGACTAGCATCTACACCGGTGGCTATCAAGCCGGATGACAGCAAGGAGCCATCTGGTGAGGTGGAGAAACCCGCAGCGGAAGAACAAGTGGATGAGATCGGAAATATGCAGCGCATGCTGGGAGAGAAGGGTCTGCCTTTGGGTCCACCCAAGCGTAGAAGCAACATGAGCAGTTCCCTGGAAGCAGTCGAGGACGATGAGGAGTACGACGAGGAGGATCTGCGGGAGGACGTGGGCTATCGGAAGGAGTATGGAGCCACTGATGGGACGAACACCTCCTCCAACAGGAAAAACCGATCCGAATGGGTCAACGAGGACTTTGAGCTACCCACCACCGAGGAGCTGTTCAGCGACCTGGGTATCTGGTGGTAGTTCCCAGTTCCCAGTCCAAGTGTGGTTACTCCGCGTCTCGAATAAACGTGCTAACTGTCAAAACAGAAATCTTTATTGGCTTGCTCTCACTTCGCCAGGGGAATCGGACTGACAGCTGCTGGGGCCCGAAGCGAGATCTGAGATCTTGCGATTCTGGCGGCGATAAAGCTTCGTAATCGGAATTTGCATAACCAGCAACGACAGCTGGAGTGGGAGTTCGGAGATTTGTGTGGACAGAACAGGACCAGGAAAGGCGGGACAGAACAGGACGGGACTGGAACAGGAACACTGACTCGTTTATGATGCATAGCAGCAGATAAAGCAAGATAAGTCAATGCTAGGCCGACTGGGAGAGGCTTCACTGTGGCCTCTTTCTGAGAGTAGGTAGTGTAGTACACTGAAAAAAGTTTATATATTAGTTGAGATTATTATTATTAAATCATTATTCCAAAGTCAAGCTTACCTACCTTTGGGAGGGAGTCCAAAGCACCTCCCAGAGCGTTAGCAAATATTGAAATATTTAAGTAATATCAAATATTTACGCCTTGTGCATTTCCAAGCATGGGACAGTCTCCGATCCCTTGTCTGCTCCACATGAAATCCCACACACACGGGCAGGCTGAGTTATAGGGCACCCAGTCCGGTCTAGGCTTTAAAGGCACCGTAAATTCTCCACAATTGACTGGAGGAATGTCTCTCGGGCCTGGATCTCAGATGGAAACTGAATCTGTCTACGTCACTGTTGGGTGCATTGTGCATGTGGCTGGGATATTGTTTTTGTTGTCGAGGGTTTGGGGTAGGCGCAGCTGGCTTATTGATCAATTAACAGCTTTTTAATGCGATTCTGAGCAATTAAAAATTAATTTGCGGGTTCGCTGATGGGATATACGCATCTCATCGAGTGATTAAAATGAGTGCGGGATAGGTCAGTCACATGCAGTCGAGCGGGACTGTTTAGCGAAAGCACCTGGGGCGATTTTTACTGATTTTATGACGAAAATATACATTTTGAATTGATGATTATGATTCTCACTAGTATTTCAAGGGTCACTGATACTACCAAATAGAATTTGGAAATCCATCCCATGCGTTTTCCAAATTTTGAAGGGGACCCCCCAGAAAATTTGACAAAAAATCTAAAAAATATTTTGTTGTCAGGTTTTGATGCAGATCGATGGAGAATCAATCTACTTTTCGTTTAAGGTACTCCGCTTAAGAATCTGATGGGTATTGGTCAAGATATGGCCATCACAGTGGCCCATATTGTCCACCCCATGCATTTTCCAAATTTTGAAGGGGACCCCCCAGAAAATTTGACAAAAAATCTTAAAAATATTTTGTTGCCAGGTTTTGATGCAGATCGATGGAGAATCAATATACTTTTCGTTTAAGGTACTCCGCTTAAGAATCTGATGGCTATTGGTCAAGATATGGCCATCACAGTGGCCCATATTGTCCACACCATGCATTTTCCAAATTTTGAAGGGGACCCCAGAAAATTTGACAAAATATCTTTAAAATATTTTGTTGCCAGGTTTTGATGCAGATCGATGGAGAATCAATATACTTTTCGTTTAAGGTACTCCGCTTAAGAATCTGATGGGTATTGGTCAAGATATGGCCATCACAGTGGCCCATATTGTCCACCCCATGCATTTTCCAAATTTTGAAGGGGACCCCCCAGAAAATTTGACAAAAAATCTTTAAAATATTTTGTTGCCAGGTTTTGATTCAGATCGATGGAGAATCAATATACTTTTCGTTTAAGGTACTCCGCTTAAGAATCTGATGGCTATTGGTCAAGATATGGCCATCACAGTGGGCCATATTGTCCACACCATGCATTTTCCAAATTTTGAAGGGGACCCCCCAGAAAATTTGACAAAAAATCTTTAAAATATTTTGTTGCCAGGTTTTGATTCAGATCGATGGAGAATCAATATACTTTTCGTTTAAGGTACTCCGCTTAAGAATCTGATGGGTATTGGTCAAGATATGGCCATCACAGTGGCCCATATTGTCCACACCATGCATTTTCCAAATTTTGAAGGGGACCCCAGAAAATTTGACAAAATATCTTTAAAATATTTTGTTGCCAGGTTTTGATGCAGATCGATGGAGAATCAATATACTTTTCGTTTAAGGTACTCCGCTTAAGAATCTGATGGGTATTGGTCAAGATATGGCCATCACAGTGGCCCATATTGTCCACCCCATGCATTTTCCAAATTTTGAAGGGGACCCCCCAGAAAATTTGACAAAAAATCTTAAAAATATTTTGTTGCCAGGTTTTGATGCAGATCAATGGAGAATCAATATACTTTTCGTTTAAGGTACTCCGCTTAAGAATCTGATGGCTATTGGTCAAGATATGGCCATCACAGTGGGCCATATTGTCCACCCCATGCATTTTCCAAATTTTGAAGGGGACCCCCCAGAAAATTTGACCAAAAATCTTAAAAATATTTTGTTGTCAGATTTTGATGCAGATCGATGAAGAATCGATCTACTTTTCGTTTAAGGTACTCCGCTTAAGAATCTGATGGCTATTGGTCAAGATATGGCCATCACAGTGGCCCATATTGTCCACCCCATGCATTTTCCAAATTTTGAAGGGGACCCCCCAGAAAATTTGACAAAAAATCTGAAAAATATTTTGTTGCCAGGTTTTGATGCAGATCGATGAAGAATCGATCTACTTTTCGTTTAAGGTACTCCGCTTAAGAATCTGATGGGTATTGGTCAAGATATGGCCATCACAGTGGCCCATATTGTCCACCCCATGCATTTTCCAAATTTTGAAGGGGACCCCCCAGAAAATTTAACAAAAAATCTTAAAAATATTTTGTTGCCAGGTTTTGATGCAGATCGATGGAAAATCAATATACTTTTCGTTTAAGGTACTCCGCTTAAGAATCTGATGGCTATTGGTCAAGATATGGCCATCACAGTGGCCCATATTGTCCACACCATGCATTTTCCAAATTTTGAAGGGGACCCCCCAGAAAATTTGACAAAAAATCTTAAAAATATTTTGTTGCCAGGTTTTGATGCAGATCGATGGAAAATCAATATACTTTTCGTTTAAGGTACTCCGCTTAAGAATCTGATGGCTATTGGTCAAGATATGGCCATCACAGTGGCCCATATTGTCCACACCATGCATTTTCCAAATTTTGAAGGGGACCCCCCAGAAAATTTGACAAAAATCTTAAAAATATTTTGTTGCCAGGTTTTGATGCAGATCGATGGAAAATCAATATACTTTTCGTTTAAGGTACTCCGCTTAAGAATCTGATGGCTATTGGTCAAGATATGGCCATCACAGTGGGCCATATTGTCCACCCCATGCATTTTCCAAATTTTGAAGGGGACCCCCCAGAAAGATTGACAAAAAATCTTAAAAATATTTTGTTGTCAGATTTTGATGCAGATCGATGGAGAATCAATCTACTTTTCGTTTAAGGTACTCCACTCTAGAATCGGAAAATATGGCCTTCGCTGTGGGTCATATTGTCCATCCCATGCGTTTTTTGATTAGTATTGAAATTGATTATAATTTTTGAAGGAGTAGGGTAATAATTTTTAAACCTGTATTCCTGTATTTGGATCCAGTGTTTTTGATTTGCTTCTGATTATTTCCGTTAACATTAATAAATGAGCGCTCACCCAGCTGGCAATTAGTAATCTTCCAAATTTAGAATCCGGAACGGCAATAAACAAAACTTGACGTATCAATCAGTCGAAGAAATTATCGATTATCGGGAGAAAGTAATAAAAGTCAAGGAGATCATTTTGTTTTATTAGGTAGGGGTCTGATGGGTTTTTATTGGGTTCTTTGGCTAGTATAAGTTATAGTTTGGATTGATGGAGCAGAGGGCGGGGTAGTCCGGGTTGCTTCCAGTCCGGCAATCGGAGGCCGGTTCTCCGGCATTGTAGACAGGAACTCCGATGGCATAGACGCTGGCGTAGTTGCAGGCCGTGTTGTAGATGTAGAGGAAGGGATACTGGGGATTGGTGAATCGCATCATGGCACAGCCCACATGGGTATTTCTGTCCACCACCGTCTCCACAAAGTGACCGTACTTTTCACTGGAAAAATAAACCAAATTAGTGGGTTAAGTTATTGGAGAGGAGGTGTCTGGAACTTACAGATTTCTGGTGACCCGAAAGTCAGTGATGTAGCTGCTGTCGATCACGCGATGCTCCCCAAACCACAAGCCCATCGACTGCTCCACCAAGTTGGTCACGTTCAAGGGCCAGTTACGAGGCCGATCCACTCCGCACAGATTCTGACCCAGATTCCGGAAGCGGTAGCTGTTCCGGCAGTCGTCGTGTTCCAAATGGCAGGTTTTCAGGTTCAAGGTGGCCAGATACTCCAGTTCCTCGTCCCACACCATGGTGGCCATGCGGGTGGCCGGGTAGTAGCCCGGCAGGGAACCCGAGGCCACAAAGTTCCTCCTTTTGTTGTGTTCGTCAACGATCAGGGAGCGATACGGTTTCAGGTCCACCATCGTGGCATCCTCGGAACATCTTTCATGAAAGTCCTGTGTACAAAAATATTTTAATTTTAAGAATCTAAGGAAGAATTGATCTTCATACTTACGCCATTGTTATTGCAGGCCACATGAACAGTATCATCCGGACACAATGCCGGATCGCACCAGGAGGCGGGTTGGCTGCTGGCCATCTCCAAAATTACAGCCAGACAGACGATGATAAGGTAAAATCCAGAATCCATATTTACTTTTTCTTGATGAAGGCTCGAATGCAAATGCGAATCCTGACCAGCTTCAAGGCGATATTTATAATGAAATTTTTGATTTGCAGGTGTTTATTTTCGGTTTTGTTTACCAATATCGATCCCGAATCCCAATCCGATCTCAATCCCGCTCCCGATCCCGATTTCAGTTCCGATTTCCCCCTGAGACGGTAAAAAAACCGAAACCGCAGTTGCTTGAGACAGGTCAAGCGACGTTTTATGAATCATTTCCATTTTCGGGGAGGCCTTTGTCTTTGTCTCGCGATCTCCATTTCTCATATTATGTATTATTTTCACCCAAGAGCATTCACACCGCCACACGCTCCCGAGGGCACAGGTTCTAGGAAAACGGGCGCCATAAACCCGCGAGGCCCGGGGCCCGGGCCGGGAAGAGTCTCCAAACGCCGGCTCCCTGCTTAAAATTAGACTTCTAATAGCTGTCTCCATTAAGTCTAGGGGTGAGTGAAGGTCAAGCTCAAGTCTCTCTGGACCCAAGCGACTCCAGAGAAAATCAGTTCTAATTTAAGCTCTGTTTGGATGGGTTAAGCAAGTGTTTTGTGGGCAAACGAGCAAAAAAGCGACTTTAAAACTTGTCCCAAAGTCGAGGCGTGGGTGTTTTTGGCGGTTCAGTGACTCCACAGCTCTAGACCTCTGAGGGGCTGCCATTAACATTGACATTGACCCAATTGGTGAGTCTCTTAACTGTGAAGACAAGTTTAATCCCCATGATTTAGGCTCGTTGCACACGCTTTATCTTCGCACTCAAAGACAGGTTCTCAATCACAAAGAACAAATCAATAACTTCTGCGCACAAATCACATAAAAATCGGAATTTGCATAAACTGGGAGGGATGGTATCTGGCAGAGGGGGTTAACGTCTCTATGGTCAATAACAAACGAAAGTTCTGTATGCCAAACCAGTCTCACGATGGGGGATCCAACTGGCCAACCGGCAGACGGGCTTTCTTTGCGGAATAGAAATCGGAATAGAGTTGTTTATTTTGGTCGGACCTCGTCGTCTTACGTCTTAGGTCTTACAGCACACCCAAATATATAATACATATAACTCAAATCGTAGTGGTTATGCAATGATACAGCCGGGTCAGAAGTCAGCGTCGGCTCTGTATTTAAATAAATTATGCAAAGTGTCTGGAATCGATGCGATCATTTATTGGTTTCTATACATTTTTAAAGCTAGATGTTACAAAATACTCTTGGCAGTTAGACCTGAGTGAATGGGAGATGTGTGCTTCCCCCAATGGTATCACTTTTACCAATTTGGATCGTACTCCTCGCGGGTGGAACACAGCCCCGGATAGAAGTGACTCTTTCCGGTTACGCAACGAGAGGCGGGATAGCCAGTCTCGTAGACGGGAGCTCCCAGGGCGTACAGTGAAGCATAGTTGCAGATGAAGTTGTAGATGTAGACCGAAGGGTAGTCGGGGCGAGTGAACCTTAGGATGGAACAGCCCAGGGCAAAGTTCTTGTCCACATTCATCTCAGCAAAGTGCCCATAGTCCTCACTGTAAAGGACGTGTTCAAAATTAGTTTAGTTGGTTTATAAAATATATGAAAGTAACTCACAATATCGCCGTAACCTTGAAGGCGTCAATGAAACTACTGTCTATCAGTGGGTACTCATTGAACCACAGACCCACACACTCCTCCACCAGACTGGTCACATTTACATAAGGACTCCTTGGTCGCCAGACGGCGCACAGATTCTGTCCTGAATTGGCATAACGATAGGTGTTGTGGCAGTCATCGTGGTCTAGTTTACAGGTGCGGGAATTCAACATGGACAGGTATTGCAGTTCATCGTCCCAAACCTTTAACAAAACTGTGTCATATTTGGGGAGAGTTTTTAATAAAAAGAACTCCTACCATTGTGGCCATTCGTGTAGCTGGATAGTATCCTGGCACTTTTCCCAAGGCCAGGAAGTTTCTTCTCTTGTTGTGGGCGTGTAGGACTTGGGCTTTGTAACTATTCAAATCCACTTGAAAGGAATCCGGCTGGCAGCGACGATGAAAAGCCTACAAAATTTAAAAGAATCGCGATATTTTATTGGAATAACTTTACATAACTTAATAGAGATCAGATTAAATTCCAAATTCCTAAGAATTTTATCAGCTTATCAGTTAGAAAGTGTTGATTCCTGATTTGTGATCTTCAATTAAGATACACTTCATAAAGATGATGTGATTTTGAATTAAGAAATGTCACGATTATATTTAAATTTAAATGCCAATACAGCAAACTTGATTTTCGGCAAATTTTTAATTCAGCTATATTTACAAAAGCCAATTATGTATTTTATTGTTTGAAATCAGGAATGATTTATTTAAATGTGATAAAAGTATTTATTATATGATAACTTACACCCGTATTCCGGCAGGCAATGTGCCTTTGGGTGGGCTCACACAGACTGGGATCACACCAGCTGAAATCCTTGGCCAGAGCCAACTGGAAAATGGCCACGCAGGCAGCCCAAAAAACGACCAGGGAAGACATGATATCTGTCCGCACTTTTGAAAAACAATAACTTCAAGGAGAGATTTCTATCACTTTCTTTGATGGCACTTCCAATAGATTTTTAGCCAATAGTCGTGGCTGTTGTTATTGAACGTTTCCGTTTGAATGATCACTAAACCGAGATCGGGAACTGCGACTAAGACCCGGGGACTGGAACTGGGACCGGGACTGGGACTAAAGTAAGAGAGCTCGTGCGGCAACCGACTTTTTATATACCAATGTATATGTCTCTCCGGCCAAGTTCTATTGCCAACACCAGCCAGGTTAAGACAAGCCTTTCTAACACGTTTAGAAACGAAACGAATCGAAATGGCCAAGAACAAGTTTGCACAAAATAATGATAATAAATATAAATATTAATTTGAGGGCCAGCCGGCGAACAGCGGAGGATGAGCTGGCTTAAGTTTCTAATTCTAATTCTGTTTCTAATTCTTCGTGATTCCCAGATTGGGCAAAAAATTAGGAGAGTTTGCTTGGTCGGGCTAGTGGAGAGAGTGGCGGCGGTTCATTGTCGCCACGAGCTGGAGAAGCTATCGATCGATCTATGTGGACAACAGATCGGTTGACAGGCCATAAAATGTGCGCGTTTGATGTTAATGCGCTCGTTAAGAACTCCCTGAGACAAACCTACATAACTATGCATATAAATAAAAGTATATACCACATATAAAGTTGGAACATATATTTTTAAAACACTTAGAGAACTTGGGAAACGGCGGCCATTCATTTCGGGGGGCGTGCAATTAATTACCCGACTTTTATTGACACATATATCCGACCGGTACTATCCCATCCCATTCTAGTCCGTCTTAGAACCTATTAGGCTAAATTTAGTGGCCTCAGTATGCAAATTTCAGCAGCGATTATGCCCGATAAGGCGGCACTTAAGACCGACGCGTGATTTAAGTTGCTTTCCACAGATTTATGGAAGAGAAATTAGAGAGGAAAGGTGAGTCTGGGACTCGGAGTGTTGCTAATTGATGGGTTGTAGCATGTGTTGGGCTACCCTAGGAAACTAAGGGAGATACGGGGTCTATGGGAAGTATAAGAAATCAGAGATATATACGAGAATGGATTTATAGGGAATAATTATAAGCAATTCAAATTGAAAAGAATACTTAGTTTCAAGGGTAACCTTTTGCATAATATTGGCAAACTTTTAAATAGAATACAAATTGTATTTACTTTCAACAATATTGTTTATAATTGTTACCCATTTTAAGCAAGTTATAAAAAATAATTTTTCAATAATAAGTTTTTTAAGCTTTTGTTTAATTTGTATAAGACTTAAAACTTTGTTTTGTGGACCCTTAAAGATACTTCAAGGTATTACGACTTTGAAAACTACTAGACTTTGCTTTTAGAAAATATTTTATAAGTTTGCATCTTTTTTTTTAAGTACGAAAAATGTTATAGCTTCTTTAGTTAATCGATATAATCCATCTTTATGATCTGAGGCGGTTCCCACACCGTTGAAATCAGGAATCCGGCGATCAATGCGCCATTACTTCGATACCACCATCCCCACCCACATCAAAGTCTGATTACAAGATTAGATAATGGCAATTAATACTCAATACTGATGGCACTGCATTAACTTCCGTCATGTGCAAAAAACTTTGCATAATTGCATCTGATTGCGATGAGGGTTCGACTTCATTTGGCGCGAAATGAAACGAAATAAATCGCTACAAGTAACTCGGTGAGAACAAGCGAATATCATTTAATTATAATTAATAATCGGCATTGTCCCAGCCCGGCATGTGCCAGAAAGTATCTGAATCTGATGGATGCCAACCAGTTTTTTCTGGCCAAGCAACAAATTTGTGGCTGTTGACGCCTTTCTGTCTGTTGCCAAAATGCCAAAAACAAGTGGTCGACTTGACTTGCTTAGAGAGTTTGAGAGAAAGAGGAGAGGCGACTTCATTGGGTTTCACTTCGAATCCTGAATCCTTAAACTAACTGGATAATTATTCAAATGAGCCCATAACTAGGTAATTAGTTATAGTTTGATTTGATCGGTTTTGCCTTCTCTATTTTTTTGACACACGCCATAGCCATTCGATCCAACGCTGAATACTTGATTGCCAATTAAATTAGTCAAAACCCCGAAGAATTGGACGGGGGCTGGAGGTCCGAGTAGAGAAATGGATATTCATTAATTCATTCAGTCATTCATCTCGTGTAAGCCCAACAAATCTTCCCAGACATTTGTATTTTTAATGACTGACTCGACTGGCTGATTGACAGCCGAGTGGGTGAGGATTAAGGTGGGGGAGGTGTCAGCACTTAATAACTAATTTGCTTGGCTAATTAGCTGTGACCAAGACATCTTAATTTACTTCAGAGTTAGTCAGAGGGAAATTGGTTTACAAATTGAAAACTTTATTAAATTAATAGGAAATTAGTAGTGCCCATTCATGAAATGAGTGACTTTTAAACTTAATTAAAGGCATTATAGTGGCGTGTGCCGAAAGTGCTAAGACTTGCTAATTATGGCTTTTTCCAGGGAATTCTTTAGAGGATAACAAAACAGAGCACTTTAATAAACTCAAAACAAAACCTAAAAAATAAAAAAAGTATAATAATAATATTAATAAAAATAATAATAATAATATTAATTAAATATTTAAAAAATGCAATATCTAACTAAGGAAAAGAACCCTCAATTTCTATATTTGTCTATTTCTTGAAGCTTTTAGCAAATCTATATATTTATTCATTGAGAAATCTACGGGTTGGGAATTGCCACCCCGTTGTCATAGCTTTTAGGTCAACGCCGAAGAGTATGCTACAAATAACTGCCAGCCACAGTACCATCCATCTGTCACCCACCGTATCAATAACATTAATAATGCTCCATTTGTCTCCAATTCTGTCAACAGCTTTGGTTGTTCCCATCCGGAAAATAAAGCATTTATAGTATATTACACTACCATACTATGGATTCCCCAAACAACCCCCAAAACAAAATGACGAAGTGCAGCCCTTGAGCCAGAAAACCGTGGGCTGTGTCCGCCGAAAGCCGCTGACATATGGAATATATGCGCTAATGGCCAGCCGATGACAATGGCTGCTCCCACGCATCCGTCAGATGATTCATGCGTTTCCACTCGCTTATGCACACTTAGGAGTCGCATCGCATCCTTGGATGCTGATTTGCTATACTGGAAAAAATGGGGGATTTTTGAGTTTAATTCAGAAGAATAATATATATATTTAAAGCCCAAAAAGTCAAAAAATTGGTACCTAATTGTATGTCCTTCAAGTCTGGTAAAAAAAAGGAAATGAATATTAATTAATATTTTAAAATTGTCCTGAATTGTCCTGTAGCTGACGATCCGCTTCCAATGCCATTGATTGTCCTTGCCAGAACCAACTTATCGCCAGAAATCTCATCTCATCGGACTGAGTCCTGCCAGAGAATTGATAAATTGAGGATTTTAAGTGGTTACCAAAGATGGTAGCATGAGAAAAATGGAAAGGGATGGAAAATTATGAATTATGAAGAACGGCCAACGGTCTTCTAATGCTGCCCCTGGGGGAATGCAGTAAACGCCACTTGTCCGACAGCCGACAGCATTCAACCAAATTCCAAATTTGGCGCACGCCGTGGCGCCACACCATCGGCGGTCAGTCGGCGGATGCCCCAGTGGAATACGTGGCTATGTTAGTATCCAGCTTTGTGGCAGCTGCTCCGATATGGACAGGTTAAGGCCCGATTAGGACAGAGCACGCGTCGTCAGGCGTCTCCAGAGTAGCAACACGCGGAAGTACTCAAAGGCGCTTCTGTAGAAGCAGATGTCATCATGGTCAGAATCAGAGTCTAGGATCGATTTGTGCACTGGAAAAAATAGTGGTAGAGAGGCTATATTTGGCTTAGTGACCATACAGTCTCTTAAAGTCTTTCAATCCAAATAGAAGACTCTTTTAAGTTTTATTAAAATATTAATAATAGCAATCGATGTTTGTAATTACTGTCCCCATTTAGTTTCTGTGTATGAAGCTTTTCTCCAGAAGAGACGCACATCAATCAGGCATCGGGCATCAGGAGGCGGCAGTGGCAATTGGAAGTGGCATCAACCTGATGATCGGTCGACATTATTGGGGATTCAGTGCACGTGCCCGCTGCGTGGTGCTGCGCTGTATGGCGATACTTTCCTCAATGAGCCATGAGCCATCAGAGCCAAAGCCATTGGCTGGGCCAGATTGTGTTTTCCGTCTAAATCGCCGGCGATCGGATCGCTTGAATTTACGAGCGCCTGATTCTTTCCAAGAATTCCACAAAGCTGGGCCCGCTCGAATTACTGACAAGCTTGCTGGTTAGCTGGGGAATTGGAATTGGTATTGGTACTGATACTGGAATTAAATTTGACCATCCGAGAGCGACCCTAGACAGCGTTGACAATTATTGCTAAGCAAACATGCATAAATTGGCATTGCCTCCAATGGCTAATGGCCATGCCCCGTAATTCGACGCCAGCCAGACTGAGTTTCTTGTACAGAATCCCTCGGACTGTTGGACTCTCGGACTCTCGGCCTCTGGAGTGGCCCTTGGCAACTGTTTTGCCTTCCATCTCACCCGCCCTGCACTTCCTTCCGTGACTCCGGCTTGGACTCCGGCACTCGCTGAGTGCCCTGGAGTCCATTGGAGTCATTGGTGCCATTGGAACCATTCGAGTGTTTGCCGCCACCCCAGACGCTGTGTCGTCGTTCGTGCCTCTGAAACTGATGCCACACACGAGCGAACAACAATAAACACAACTTTGCCGGGGATCCTTCAATTGGATTTGGCTCGTGGATGGGGTACATTCTCGTATGTATTTGATGCAATTCGACGCCAGCTGCTATTCAAATTGAAAGTTGAAAGCAATTGTTTCCTCAACTGGAGCGCCTATTGGGACTTGAGCTTAGTCAAAGCTGAAACCCCCAATCAAACGATTTTTAATTACATTTTTTTGTCTCCATATATTTCAATGTTCATTTTAACCACTTTTTTATTCAAGTGTCATTAGATTTTGTTTTTGTTCTTTTTCGTTTCATCTTTTTTGGGATATTTAAATATATACCATTATTTTACAGATCTTCCAGCCATACATGGTAGTACAATATATAATGAAGTAATTATAGTACATTACATTTAACTTTAAACTCGATTAATCTGGTAAAAGTGAAAAATGGCAAAGAGTTGTCTCCTTTTCCTCTGGTTAAGTGCATAAATAGTTGGCGATAGTAGGTAGGTAGATAGGTAGGTAGGTAGGTAGGTATATTATATAAATATTAACACAGTTTGGGTAAAAATGGGTTAACTCTGCTCTGGGCAATTTGAGATAAGAGGAGTACAAGAGGGTTAAGGGTTAAGGGTATCAAGTAGGAAGTCAAATGGAGCTGGGTTCGTTTTTTTGTTTTCAATTATGAGTGAGGGTCTCTCTCAACTAAGCAAAAATACTGTTTTGTGCAATTCTCATAGTAGTTGGGTCGGATCGCCTTTAATTCCTCCTTTTCCTTTTATTATTTTTAAGAGCTTAAATTTTAAGCAAACATCAAGTATTTCGGCTAGGATTCGCGTTAAGTTCTAAGTACACTTAGCTAAAGCTTAGCTTAGTTTTAGTTGTAGATTTAGTTTAGTTTAGTTTTTAGTTTATGGTTTAGTTTAGCGCAGTGCAGCGGTAAAACACACATACAGGAATATAAATACAAAACAGGCACACAAACAACAGGCTCTCCGAATAAAAACTCCATTACTAAAGCTAAAATAAATAAAACTTAGGCTACACGAAATGGCGAAGGAGATGAGTTCTGAATGCAATGCGAATGCGGGTCTTACACTTGTCTAGATCCCTATAAGTGGTGCGAATGTATATATGTTTTTGCCTACTCCAGAGGACCCTTCTGGCCTAATACTGTTGCCTGGCTGTCCTGGCAAGGGGACTATATCGGCACCCTTTCCAGATACTGCGCTTGTTGGCCGCCAAAAGTATGCTATGAAATGCGCCCCCTTTCAATGTGTATGTGTGTGCGTGGGTCTGGGTGCTTGTGTGTGTCGGTGTAGTAACTAAATGGTGGTAACTAAGTGGTTAACTAATTATAAACTTAATGCAGGGGCGGCGGCGTGCGATCCGGCGCACGGGGATGCAACACTAGGCTGGGATGCTTCCGGGTGAACTCCTTGTCCACCACCTGGTTGTGCTGGCCTCCCTTGGGCCGCCGCCTTCGTTCCTGTTTCCTCCTCAGCTCCTGTTCCTGCAGCTGCTGCAGCTGTTGGCGATGCAACCGGTGCTGCTGTCTCTGCTGCTTCCGTCCGCGGCCCTTCAACCGCGTGAAGCTCGAGTCCCCGTAGTACTCATTGTTCAGATAGCTGGACAAGGTCGTGGCATTCCGTCGGAATCCGCTCGGGCACTTGGTGGCTGTCCTCCAGTCCGGCAGGATGACACCCAATCGCTTGCACTCGTGGGCGTAGGCGGCGAAGCTGTCGCAGTGGCAACTCCCCGAAGGACACTCGCACACGTCCATCCGGCAGGCGGCGATGTAGTTCTGGGGATTCAGACGCTCGTTGCATTCCCCAAACAAATGGGAGACGCTCAGCGGATGGCAGTAGAAGCTGGACATCCTCTTGTCGCAGGTGGGCAGGGCAGCGATGTTTTCACGCTGGCGGGAACAGGACTTGGGGCCGCCCACCTTCCAAGAGTTGGCAAAGTGCCAGACCTCCTCATCGCTGTGGGAGCGGCCGTCCTTGCTGGTGAGATCGTCCCGGGCGCTGCCGTTGAAGTTGCCGCACAGGCCGCACAGTCGTTTCTTGTATTGGGCGGGCACTGTGACCTGCAGGAAGCCGGCTCCATCCCACTCCAGCTGGAGCCCCATTTCGGATCGCAGCATCACTACGCCACCCACACCATCGATGAACCGCTCTATGGTAACGTTCTGTCCTCCGGCCATGCCCACGTAGGGCAGCATGACCCTGGTGCCGTTGACCTTCACCCTCAGCCGCTGGCCGAGATTCACGCGCAGGTTGTGGAGCTTCAGGGTGATCGTTTTAGCCCAACTGGCATGCCGGGTTCCCCTGCCCTCGTTCGTCAGCCGGATGTGGAATGTATTGTCCCTGCAGTCGGCGGCCAGCAGATACTTGCAGCTTCCCTGGAAACTGAAGAACTTGCCATCGAAGGTACGGAAGTGGGGATCCCCAAAGACCGTACACGTTCCAGCCGCCTCGACGCACCGATAACAGCACTCTCCCGGTGGCAGCTTCAGAACCTCGTTCGCCCGGCACTTGACCGCCGGACAACGTCGCTCGGAACACCGGATGGTGCCACCGTTGCAGCGGCAACTGCGGCAGGGTCCCATGTTCCAGGTCTCGTTGTTGCGATAGGTCACGCCCTCCAGACTACACTCGCTTCTGACCTCGGCGACGGCGCAGCGGGGACAGCAGCCGTCCTCCTCCTGGAACTCGGGGGCACACTCCAGGATGGGGCAGGTGGCACGCTGGCACACCGAGGTGCCGTTCAAACAGGTGCAATTGGTGCACCTATCCGGCATGAACTGGGTCTTCTCGTAGTACATCTGTTTGTTGAAGAAGCACTTGCCTGAAAGGGAGTTTAACAAAATGGAGGTATAGTATTAGATTAAACTTTATGCTAGATTGGGTCTTAAAATATGGTGGAAAATTATGTAATTTGAAAACGCACTCACCTGGCACCGTAAATATCTCTCGCTTTTCCGTGCACCTTGGACAGCACTCGTCGGGATGCTGCTTCTGCTTGCTCTTGGGGCACAGCAGGATGGGGCAGGTCTTCTTGGAGCAGGTCAGCTGGTTGTCGCCGCACTGGCAGACCAGGCAGCGATCGTCAATGAAGGGGACAACCTCCTGGCCCTTGGCCACAGTCTGGCCGTTGATCGTGCAGCCTGAAAACCAAAAGAAAATGGTAAAGAAATAAGCCAAGCAATCCCATCAGATATAAGACATGAGGAATCACAAATCAGACATCGGGCACTTATGATTTAGTTTGGTTTGATTTGCTTGGCGGATGGCCAAGAAATTTTCCACAAGGCGAAACGGGTTTCCAAGCGGGCGGCATTTGCATAGGCAGCGTCATCGTAGGACGGTCCCCCCGATTTCGAATCGCCTCTAATATATCTTTGGCTTTAGCTGCGACTGGGTTTGTTTTTGTTTGCTTAGCGGTGAGATCGCAATGCGAATGCGGGACAACATTGTCGCCTTAATAGACAATTTAAAGCCCATAAATAAGCAGCGCCAACAATAACATCAGCCCCCTAAAGAGCACCAGATCAAAACAGATCGGAGCAGATCACCAAACGCTGATCGGAGCAGCACCCAGCCGCATATTGGAATTGGAATGTCCCATGAATAAATCATTTTGATAATAGAGACATAAAAATACTGATTATCTATAGTTTAGGCATTCGACAATTTCAATAAAAAGTAACCCGAATTTGCCAACCAAATTATACGGATATACCTTTTTATAGTGTATTCTTTTATATTTTTTCATTTTCGAAGAAATCATTATGTTTTGGCTCGGCTTTGTCTAACAATTATGAGGCATTAGTGAGGGCTATGGCTAATTTTAGTGAGTGATGCTACTGGGGACTGGTCTGGAGTCTCGAACTCACCTTGACAGGTGGGACAGCATTCTCCGGGGCGTGGTGGCTGCAGCTGATCGTCATCGCACTGGGAGTAGCACTTCTGGATGGTCTCGGTGACGACGGTGGCCACGCACTTGTAGGTCCTGCAGGGATCCTCCGGGTCAGTCCATTCCGCTCCACTTTCATACGGAATGCCCCGGAACATGCAACCTTAAGAAGCAAATTGGATATATTTAGAATCGCTAGTAAATACCCTGATTATGGTTGAACTTACCTTTACATCGGGGACAACAGGAGCCATTTGACCTGTCTACCATATAGCAATCATCAATGGGTGGGCAATTGTTGGAACATCTTACAAATCCATTCTATAAAGTGAGTATAAAGACCATAAGTTAGACTTGTACTAGTTGAACAATATTTTCGAACCCCCGTGGCGTATGCGCAATTTGCTTTAATAGAATGGGCCAGGTAACACTTGTCACAGATCAGTTTATGAGCTTATAAATAGTGGGTGAATACTCTTCCAATAAATGTCTTTACTCGGGGGAATGGGGTTTGAATAGTTACTCTAAAACAATATCAGGGAAAAGGCATGATTTGAGCTATAATTTTCATTGCAAATTCAATTCTTTTCAAGGATTATGCAAATCATTTTAATTTATGCTCCACTAATTTATCCTTAAACTCTAGATTTTCATTTTCTCATTGCATCTCGTTAGTTGATCCCTCGACTGATTGCCTGCCCACCACTACCAGTAACCCAAAGCCAAATCAGCTTAGAAATATATACATATATATGGTAAATGATATAGCAGGCAGGCAGGCAGTCAGGTCGGCCGACCGCCAGACCAGCAGTCCAGCAGACCGGCAGGTAGGTATCTCTATGCATCTGGATTTTCTAGCCATTTGGCTGTTAACGACATGCTGACAGCTGGAGCGGGGAGCATTAGAATTGATGTCGATCATAAGTCAAACTGTTGCAACTTGGCCAGCTTGTGCAATTGCCTTTAACCCTTGAGTGTGCACCAAATCCGAAGCAGCTGTTATTCCACCGCACTGACAGTGACAGGTTAAAGCCAGATTCAGATTCAGATTCAGAGTCAGAGAGCCTGGCTGGTCGTAATAATAGAGCCGCTGGGACCCGTGGAGCCCGCCGCTAATTGTAAATGTATCTATAAATCTAGATAGATGTCGACCAAAAACAGGCAAAATATTTCACTAATTTGTATGCAGTTGCTTCGGAACAATGTCTGCGGTCTCTGTAGATATATAATTGCCATTGTATGGCATCTGTGACTATCTGTGTGAGTATAATTTAGTGCAAGCAAACCAGATTGGATCTCAATTTGGATGGGGCTGCAACGTGCAAAATTTGCAATTGTTATGAAAATGAAAATCTCGAGAGTCTCAGTTTCTTTGGTCTCGGTCTCCAAGCAGCCTGCGAGATTTTTATCATCGTATTAGTTTTAATGGCAGTTGTTAGTTGGAATTTTAATGGCACTTTAGTACGGCATTGTCGTAACTCCCTCCGACTCCCTCTGACCCTCGACAACTACAATAAACTGACAGATTGAATATCACCCTAATCGCTCGCTCTGTCTCGATTTTAGATATAATCCAAGTCAGATCCAAGTGGGTTTAGTCATGAAATCTGACCGCATTTTTCAGCAAAATAATCAATAATTTTGTAGCATTTATTTGTCTCATTTATTGAGACGAATATGAGAACTTATAGAAACTAGTTACACACTTTTTCGCCGTGAAGCTGTTTATGCTTAAAAATTCTTTCTTTCTAATCGGGAACCGGTATAGAAAAATGTTCAGCCAACATGAAAGTTGAAGCTATTTTTTTTTTTTGTATTTTGCGAGAGATTGCTGAAGGCGCCACGATGGCAACCTGAGCTGCTAAGTAGCACCGATGCTGCCGTGTTGTTGCTGCCCAGCGGCAATCCAGTGTATCTGTATCTGTGGGCCGGCCAGTGTGAGTGTGTATCTATGTGTGCCACAGTGGCAGAACCACATTTGCAAACGGCCTCTAACGACCTTGCGTTTGACAAAACATGATCAGTTTTAACACCGTCTCCGTCTGAGCCTCTCGCCTAGTCCCCTCTCGCTCTTTTCGGCCATCTCCGAGTTGGCTTGGCCTGTCTTGGAGTTCCAACCACTCGGCCCGGCCAGGCCGGGGTAGGCCAAGACAGGCCAGCTTGGAGTCTGCCGCTGTAGACACGGAGTGAATATGGTAATGACAGTCTTGTGGTTTTATGGTCATGCGTATTTTGTCACTTGTGGGTTACGGCTCGACTCGGAATTGGCAGCGGACGGAATTGAAATTAAAGTCGGAATTGGTAACACAATCAGTATCGCAGTATCGAAATCGGCATTCGGTATCGCATTTTAGAATGTAGGAATGCCCGAGAATTTGCAGAAATGGAGTTGGCAGACCTGTATGAAAATGTTTTCGCCAAATCTGGTTTGTCTTTGCTCTAGAATTCCATATTTGCAAAAGTGAATTTATTTGGCTAATTCTATGCACAACAAAAAAAGGTCTCTAATGACTCCAATTTGCTGATGTGCCCCTGTTCTCGGTCGTAAATCCTTCATTAATATTAATATGGAACTGCCAAAGAGAAGAGTTCAAATTCCAAGATGCCACTTATACAACCAATCACTCGCAGAATCCTATAATCGCATGTTTACCCATTTCCAGGACGAAAATTTCATTTGCAAATACCCATTCTGGGGATCCATAAAAGTCCTGCTCAATCATTTCTCTCGTAGAGTTGGGGTCTGGGGCTATGGGGTTGGTCGGTATATGGGTATATGGGTTAGGGGTGAACTAACCCGAAAACCGTTTAAATCATAAAGCATTAGAGGAGAATTCAGCGGATTCAGCATAATATTCGCATAAAACCGAATATTTGTAGCCCCACCGAGGGGTGGGTGGCGTTTTCTTTGATTGTCCTTGACGTTTTGGCACTACCCTGGCGAAAACATGTATATGAGCTTGTCTCTACGCAGACTCGTTTATTATAATATATTTTAGACAATAAACGCTGGTCGTAAACTTTCGACTTGAATGGCCGAAAGTAACGAGATACCCATTGAAGAAAGCATTATTTATCGGATTTACGCGTTCAAGCTCCGATTAAAGCTTAACGGTTTGCACGCTCCACTGCGGAATCTTAAGAGAGGCGAAGCACTAAGAGAAATCACACCGGTCTCAGGTTAAATTCCGATTTCATGAACTTTTAATGAGTTGAGGCGACGAATCCCCCGCCAGCGTGCGAGCGAGATGCACCCGGCCGGACCGGAAAGAGACGGAGCTACTGATGGCGCCTTCCCAGTAAGGTGGCGCCAGTATCGTATTTGCCCGCTGTTGCTTTTTAATTTCGGTTACGCCCACTTGACGACGACGGTGGCGGCGACAACAGCATCGGCAGCAACAGTAACCGCAACAGACCCATACCAACAATGGGAATAATAATAACAACGAAGCAAAGCTCAGCCGCAGGCGAAAAACAGATTCAACGATCGATCGATCGATCGATCGGGTCGCTTGGATCGCTGGGGATCGCTGGGGAGCGCTTGAGCGGCGCCAGCGCTCGGACGCTTGCCGCTCAAATTGGAGCAGCGGCGTTTAGCAGCGCTTAGCGCTAAATTAGCGGCAGGCTCACGACAGTCTCACCGAGAAAAATAAAGCTAAGGTTCAATAAAGATCAATTATCTCATTTGGAAACCATATGTATATTTGTATCCCCCTTAAAACCCATAAGCCTTAACTATTAATTACTTTTTTAAAAACCTTTTTTCCAGTTGGTTTTTCTAACCTAAAGACCTTTAAGTCAGAAGTTCCTTTTCAAAAAGATAGGTACTATCTGGTACTCTAGTCATAATCCCAATCCTAAACATATAAAGGTTTTCTAAAATTTAGGAACTATTTAGAATTGGAATTTATTGTATTATTTTAGATAATATTTTCTTGCAAGCATTTCTTGCAGTGTACTGGTAACTCAATGCCCCCAGCCCCCTCCACCTGTTTCTTTCGCTCCCAGCCTCCATCTATCGATCAGCCAGATGAGCACGCGCTAACTTAATGACGACACGAAGACGTCGTTTGAGCCGCGTCAGAAAAGGGGCATAGTGGGGCTTGGAGCCGTAGTGAGGGAGATGGAGAGGCGTAGTAGCTGGCGACAAAAAATCACTGCTGCTGCGGCGGTGGCGGCGCCAAGTGTTTTTCAAACGATCGGATCCGATCGATCCGCATCCGCAGACCTAACCGCCGATCAGCGATCAGCGAACACCGAACCGAATACTCTTGCCAATCCAATGGCGATACGAATTCCGCGATTCCAAGACCGTCCCACACGGCGGCTGATGATTGTCGTAGAGTGCGAAACCCGTTTGACGACCTTGGATCGTAAAAAATCGCGGTATGGGGGTGACATGAAGGGGGATAGAGTGAGAGCGAGTTGGCGAGAGGAGGAAGTGAAGCCAAACAAATGCAAACCATCTCAAACATTTTGGTCAAGTCCACAATGGATATAATATCTTTTTTAAGTACACACAGAAAAAATCGTGCAAGATACATATACTTTATTCTGAGCCTTTTTAATAAAATTTTCTAAAGATTGCTTTGTCTTGTAAGCCGAAATATCCAGAGAATCTTTGGTATTTTTAATTTTGGCAGACTTCTTAGGATGTAACTGCAGTGACACGAGTCTGAATGTCCTGCTGGCTGGACACTGGCGTCGCCCCCCGTCGAGACACTTTCGGATTGAGGCGGGATTTTGGCCAGAAAGGACCAAAGGGGAGGACAAATTACGGAACATGAGATTTATTTTAGCCAGTATGCTCATGTTATTTTTTCATTTCGTTTCATTTCTCTTTAAGTGACTTTTATCGAGGCCAAGAAGGCATCTCCTTTTGCCAAATTTTGGCAAGGACTCGTGGAGCCATCTTGGAGTTGGCTCTGGCAACTTAAAATGTTTAATCAAAGCCCGTTTTCCAACTCACCTGACAGATGCAATTAAAGCACTTGAAGTCCTGATTACGTTTCGCCAATTGGACTTCCTCGCCCTCGTTCGAGCAAGATTCCAGGTAACCTGAAATAATTGTTTAGATTGTGGATTAGTATTGTGCTTATCGGTCGGCTGTTAATCCCCATCCCGGACATTTCCTGCCCCTGACGTTGACTCTTGATGAAATAATACCAAACAAATACAAACAAACAAGACGATTCATTGTACAACGCCGGAAATTGCCCACCGACTGAGATCTTATCCGAGCACGTGACCCAAAATGGACTTCTATCTGACTGACTCCCTCTCTTATTTGTACATTGTATGCTTCTCGATCTAAGACTCGTCTTCTGCCCAGGCAGTTGTGATCTTTTGCTACGGGTCAGTGGGATTAGGCCTCTTTAAGAGCATAAACTTGTGTGATTGAGTATGGTGCAGAGAAAGAAATATTTTCAAGATTCTAAAGTGTTAACTAAAGATGAACAAGAATTAAGAAAAGGTTTTTAAATAAAAAGAATTTTTTAATAATTAAAAATCTCTATTATCTTCTTCAATTTCTCTCAGTGTAAGCACTCTTCTGCCCTGCTTTGTTGTTGTTTGGCTTTTACCTGGCGCTCTGCCGGCGCTTAACTCAAAAGTAGCCAAGAGCTGCATGTTAAACATGTTCCCCAACAGAGACTACAAAAACAAAAACAAGCAACACAAGAGAGGTAATAACAACAATGGGGCAGCAGAGCAAGAGGCAAACGGAAACGCATGCAGAGAGCGAGGTGGAGCAAGAGTGGGGGATCCACGACCCCATCGAGCTGAGCCCGGTCTTCTTCTTCTTTCACAAAAGAGAGGACCACCTGCAATGTGCTGATAAACACACACACACACACAGAGAACACTCGCTACCTCTCGCTCTGGCCAGCCAGTCAGTGATAAATGAAGACGCCGGCGCTAAGCAAGTGGGGCAAGGAGCGGGCGAGGTCGAGAGGTGATCCATTGGAGCTACCTTGTTGTATTCCTCGTTTTCAGGTTGTTCCTCTTCGGATGCGGCGTCTCAGTGGGCGGCTTGGGGATTCTGTTTCTTTTTGTTGTGTTCTGAACTCTTATCGAGGTTCCTCCTACCTGATCTCGGGCCCCTCGCTGCCCTTTCGCCCCCCAAAAAGAGCAATCTGTGTAATTTGGTCGCTTGTTTGTTTTTAATTCGCTTTTGTTCCCTTTGATGATGGACTTTTCACGATTGTTGTTCTTGGCCTTCCTGTTCTCCTCCCAGGGTCCTGCTGGCTCGGCCTCCGCCCCCTTCCTCCAGCAACAAATCATGTGGAAAATTTCCCCCAAATCTGAGAGTTTCTTGACTGCCTCGGAGGGAGACTTTCTATATTCCTTTCTCTTTTCGACTAGAGCAGTTAATGAACTTGGTGGAGTAACCCGATATTGGCATTGCAATATATCTAATTTATGCGATTTTTATTTTCATTTAACACACTCGAAACCCCATAAAAAAGCCCACTCAATATGTTTTTTAGAGGAGCACAGACGCAAAACAGCAAGTCGAATAAAAAAATACCTCTAGACGCGGACAACGCTTGAATATGTTCAGTCAGTAGCTGTTCCCGATGAATTCTTCGATGCCCGGCCCCCTCGGCCAAAGCCACCCCTCCCTCGGCCGTTGGCGTCGCCGACGTTCACTGATTAATCACAGCCGCCGATTAAGCGCCAGCCAGTGGAGGGGAAAGGAGATCGAGCGGGGATTAAAAAGCCTCCGGGTTAAGGGGGGCTGAGGCGGTACTTGGTCAGAGGTGGGGGCAGGCGACGGCACGTGTCCGGCCCCGAATGTGCGACAAGGCGTGCGCCTAACAACAGTACCTAGAAGATACTTTAATTATTCGAAATTGTTGGGTTTGAATCTTTTGAATATTATTGAAGAACTGCGAACTAAATTGGAAGAAATATATCGAAAACTAAGACTTTATCAAGAGTTTAGGTGATTAATATTCGTTGATTGAAGAGTAATGGATAACCAAACTAACCTATAGTACCGCCAAGGGGAAGGTTATAAAGTGCCCCTTCAACTCGAGTTATTCAAAAGCCGATGCTGAGTCAGTTGACAATCTCCAATAAAAAGTTCCGCGGAAAAGCGATCTAAACCGATCACCACAGTTGGCAGTTAAAGCTGTTATAAGCTCGTAAAAATCAGCTAAAATCCATGATTCATAGTCATAAGTCGCATTAAATCCAACAAGCCGCTTAAATGGCCAGTGGGACTAGTTTTTGAATATCTCACTTTTTTCATTTTCGAATTCTGGAAGAATGCCGATGCCGATCTTCATCAAGGCTAGATGAAAGTTTTATGATCGGATTGAACATTAAAGTTATGGCCGAAGAGAAAAATCGGTCATAAAACAATTATGAAATTAGAAAATAGAAGTGATTTTTCTATGGCCGTAAAAAAGGTTTAACTTTTTATGGGAACCAACTTAGGGGTTTCCGAAATTGATTGAATAAAGGCAGAAAACAAAGATTACCAATTAAATGAAGAACTTAATCAGGCGATGGAGCTATAATTCGATTCTAACTTTGATGTCTTGTGGTTCCCCCACTTGGCAGAGTGATCAAGTCAAGTGCCTGCCAAGTGATCATTTCCCGTTTTCAGATCTTAGATGGGTCTATTGATAGACTTAATTGTACTCACCATGCAGACTGTTGCCAGCTCCGGCGGCGACTGTTTGTATTTGGAGAAGGGCGACCAGGATCAGTGCGAGGATAGGAATCAGGATCTGAGCACCGTTCTGGCTAAGCCGCCGCCTGTGTCTTGTTGTCTTCCTGGCCGGTACCGATTCCGAATCCGATTCCTGGTGCGGCTGTCCACTCGAAGACTGCGCAGAAGATTTCCACTGGCCGCTTGATTGGCAACACATTTTCGATTCTTCGCAACCGGTCGATGTTCGCGGAAATCTTCTATTAGTTTTTCCTTGTTCGATTCTTGTTAAATGGCTTTTCCTCGCTTTGATTTGTGATTTTGCTCCGGATGGCTGTTGGTTTTCTCGCGTGAATTATGACTGGAAAGAAATTTTGTATTTTTGGTGGAGAAAGATGACGATCAAGCCGGTTAGGTTTAAAAATAACAGCGCAGCCAACGAAAATAGATTTGTTTGGACGTTCTGCAGGTGTCTTGTACCAATTTGTACCTACAACTTTGTTGTTTCAAATTAAATTTAGAACCGATATATCATTTAATGGGTGTGTGCGTGTGCAACAACTGTTGTTTTGGCTCTGATCTGCCGGCGAACCGGCGATCTGACCCAGACACTTTGCACTTGCCCAGGGTGAGATTTCGGCCAGTAAATCATTTCGTTTTTGGGTTTTACGACGCACGACTCCCGACTCCCGACTCTCGACCGCCCGGAACCCGAGATGTTAGGCCATAGATACGGATACGGATGGCTCGTATCGTAGTATGTATGGGTTCTTTCACCGGGCCGGCCAATTCTGCGAATCATCAGAGCAGCCCTTGGCCCGCCCTCTCAATTGTCGACATCGACATCGAGGAGGTGTTAAGACAACCTGGACATTATTAGTTTTGCGATTTATGGGTGCGTACTCACAAATACGCGTATTTGTATCTCTATCTGTGTATGTGTGTATCTGCGTATTTGTATCTAGGTATCTAGGTGCTGTGTGCGGCTCAGGTAACAACAGATATGAGCCTTATGTGTGGTGGCTCTTTGTTCGACTGGCGGATCATAAAAATGTTAATGATCTTTGACGGGCTGGCGCCAGCCAAGGAATATTGTAATGCTTGTTTGAGTTATAATTAATTTCGATTGTCTTTGTTGTTCTTGTTGCTGCTGGCGCGCATAATATTTTATTATTTGTCTTGAACATTTCGAATTTGCCAAAGATTTGTTGTCTTTCAGCTTCTCTGTGTTAGTTTTAGCGTTTGTTTTTCTCTTTTTATTGATTTCTAGCGGCTTCAAAGTGGCGCCAACCAAATGCCGAACGCACCAAACGCGGATACGAATCTCCGTGAATCACTAAGCGTGTTAATCCCAATCCCCGACGTAATCCCAAGCCTCTGTTCCCATTCCCCATTCCACCTAACGACTTGGGATCGTGTGACACACCCTGCAGCGATTGAAGAGAGCCATGATTTTGGAGCTGGGAGGTGGGCACCCAAATCGGTGCTTGACCCAACATTCGAACAAGTGTTCAGCGTCCAAGAAAAAGCTGATGAGATTCCCATTACCCTCTGGCAGGGCAGCTGCCAGTCCTTTCCACAAAGCCCCATATACCCGCCAAAGTCCCAGTAGCCAGCCAAGTGGGTATCGCTCACCGATTTTGATAAGGTACGAGCTTAGACTACATAGTACACTCAATAATATGTTAATTTCTGCACTTGATAACGCCGCACATATTAACAATAACATATGCACTGATCGACTACGTGACAATCGGTTTAAGTAGTGTTATGTATTTTTTCCGCTACCGACGATTAGCTGCAATTTGTCAAGCGACTGGCCGTTGACAAGGACAATGTAAATCAAAAGTGGGAACTACCTACGAACAGTACTATAATCGGACTCGGACACAAGGAAGCTGTTCTTTGTTCTAGGTTACAAGAGTCGCCGGACGTTGATAAAGTGCCAAGTCTTTAATTAATGGCTCTTTTCAGGAAGAACTATACACAAACGAGTGCTATTTAGATGATTGTGTAACTCTGAGCTTCAATGGGTCTGTGGATTTGGATATGTGGTTCCCCTCCATTCAAGAGCTCTTCGAGTGCCAATGCCAAAATACTGAGTCAAGGGCCTACCCCCCGAAAAACATTGAAGCGCGCGTTGATTTGAATTGGGTTCTCGGCTTATCGTGTGGGTTCGGTTCATTGTTCAGTTCTGAAAATGCCCATGGGCTTAAGCTTTAGCTATATAGCCGCCATTTCGATGTCGGTCGTGCCCCATGTGTGCAGCAAAAGTACGCAATTCCAAAATCGTCAAATCAGTCGACTTTTGAGCCGGGGTTAATGTGCGATTGAGTGAATGAGTTGCCGAGAGGTTGAACCAAATATAAACGGCCCAGGCAGTAGTGGAAATTATCAGGGTATTTAATTTGAGGACTAGTTCCTAAGATATCTTAGGACGGCCCCCCTGTAATGTGTGTAATTGGAGAGCCCTAGAACCCGACGGCCCTGCAATCGGCTGACTCAGAGTCAGACTTTGACGATGTCGTGCCAATTAAAATTGCCGAGGGGCGGTGATTACCTGGCCTGGCGTCCAGACTGGGGGCTTCTAATGGTTGCCCAGTGGCACGGTGGCGCTCTGGCGTCAACCCAACCGGCAAGGCCAGGGCAATTAAGCCAACCCCGGGGTTGGCCGGCCCTGCACAAACTGCAGCAAATTGGTTTGGCTCTGGGTTCTCGTATCTGGGTATACTAGGCCCCCGAAAGGGTTACGCATGGCACGCAGACGGTGTCTAGACGGGGCCCTCTAATGATCGGCGGTAGGTACTAAGTACACAGCAAACAAATGGCTCCCAATATCACTGATAAGTAAGACTATTGCGAACTTAATATTATTTAATATCTAAAAATGGTCACATTTTAACAGAGGAACTTGTAAGAAATATATTTGCTTGAATTGCAAACTTGCTACTATATTTTCGCTGTGTAACTAGCCAGTCAGGTAGGCAGTTTGCCAGTTCTGTCCTTATCACACTCTCGCCATCAGAAATTCCCCTTAAAAGCCTGCCTTCTGCCTCCTGCCAATTACTTTCGGAGTGGACCATGTCGCTGGCTTAATTCAATTAACAGCGGAATGCCGGGCTGCTCTTACAACTCTTACATCTCTTCGAGTTACAGCCAGCCAACATAACCATTAAGCCCCCGAGATCAGTCGTAATCCCCCGCGGGCGGCGCCAAAAACCCAAAGACTTTGGCAAATCATGCAAATTCCACCAGCCAGTCCGCAAGCCAGCCAGCCAGCAAAAGTTACAAGGCACGAAAACGACTTGGGACTTCCAGCTTTTGGAGTCAAAAAAAAAAAAAAACTCCCCGCAGAGTCAAAAGTCTGATTCCGATCGCTGGAACTGCCGACTGCTGACTGCCTCACTGGCACTGGAAACTAATTTCAATGTATTTGCATATTGAAGGCTGTTTGCCACAACAATGAGATGGCTAAAAACGCACATTTGTCAAATGGCAGGGCCCTTCGGGGCAAGACGTGTTCGAGATTTCAGCTTTATTTGGTACAATTTCGACTGGCAGGGACAGGGGGGACTGGGAACTGGAGACTGGGTCTGGGTCTGGGACATGGACAGAAACTGAATCCGAAACCGAAACTGAAACCGGCGATTACAGCTGCAGCTCCGATGAAGACAAGACCCAAGCCCAAAACTTCAACTCTAAAACGCCAGTCGATGACGCTGACGATTGCCCAAGACAATGGGCCAACAATAAGAGTTAACCAATTTCATGTGCCATCAGGAGGGGACGGGGGGGAAACACGAATGCATCGAACGACATAATAAAGTCACAAGCCAGACAAACGTATAAAAGCTAACAAAGCTATTAGCCATCATCATCATCATCATCGAAGTTGGCCCAGCCCAACTTTGGAGTTCCAGGACCACGTTGGAAGACCTCAAACTGGTCCTGCTTCGCCATCCCTCCGTTCTTTCGCTCCCGATGGGGTAATGCGATTTTAATAGCGTTCGAAGACCATTGCCAAACCGAAAAGAACTTTGCTGAAGGGAACAGAGCCGAACCCAAATGTGCCGGAATAAGTGCTTCATAAAAGTCGCACATCATATAGTTTAATTAAATGAGATTTCTCCACATAATTTTCGAATAAATTTAGTGATTTTCCCCCATGAGAAAATGCCATTTGTCTAAACTCGTTTTCTTTGATTTCAAATGCAAGTTTGAGACGCCGAAAATCTATTAAAATGGTAAGAAAATGTTTAATTTCTAATCAGGTATGACTTTTTAATAGAAATTTAAAGACTTTTTTCTTTTACAGTGATCATGGTACACTAAAAGTGTCGAAAATTGAATAGTTTTTGATTACCAAACATTATGATGAATAAAAACCGAGCTTTAATGGCAATTAGGCCTACCTGATTATGGCTAATACCTACGTTTAAGCCATAACGATATCCCTACTTTGGATTCCTGAGTGTAAACATGGCAAAGTCTATCTTGAAATTCATATTTTCAAATCTGTGAAAACTCCTTTTATAGAGACATATTTTGATCATATGTTTATTGGCGAACCAATCAGCATAAGCCACTTAAATCCAAGCCGTTTTTAGACCTGCCACCAGATTACTCCGATTCGACTCGATTGATATTTTTTCCTTGGCGGCTTAGTCATATTCCTCCAAGAAATCTTGGCCATATAAGCTGACAGTGAGACAAAGTCTGTGCAGAGTTTGTCATGGCCATGAATCATGGGTAATATAAAATGATTTTTATTATTCTTAAATGCTCATTGGGTTCGCTTTAACAAATTATTAATAAACTCGACGATGCCCATTTGGAGGGGGAGAAACTGGACTGGAGGGGCCCGATGCGGATGGGGGGCTGTCAGCGTTAGAGTGCGGGTGCTGGGTTGTTGAAATTTGAGTATTATTAGCGAATTTACCGCAAAATCTATAAATAGCCAAAACAGAACGATTAATTGATACCCAGACACAGAGATCAAGCCTTTTGTTTGAGTATCTGTTGAACTTGTGTGTGTTTGTGGCAACTCCAAAGTCGAACTCTAGTAAAGATCACAAAAATAATGGCACGCCTTGACAGATAAAAAAGACAAAAACCACAGAAATTCCACACAATTTTTATTGTGCAATTATTTAGGCGAAAGTTAATCAAAAAACTACGTAAACGAAATATTCGTTGGCTTCTTTTTGTTTTGCCCAAAAACCGGATTTTATCGATCGAAGATGAACATAGCCGCGATAACAAAAACAAATGCTGTATAGCTGTAAACAATTTTTTAGAAATAACCATCCAACGGGCCAACAAACAAAAAAAAGAAACAGAAACAACATTTTTTTGAGTAGA